AACACACTTTAGGATAGCGTCCGAGAGTTTCCTCTGACAAGTTAGCCTGAGCTTCAGTTGCTCAATCTCTCACTGACAGACACACTTCACTACTTGATCTCTTCCTTAGCTCCTTCCCCAGACTCATGTCATGCTCTGCAGCTCTGTCTTCTTAGCAACTCTATGTGGTATTGTCTATTGATCTCTTTCTGCTCTCCCATCAGGCAAGAACCCCCTATTAACAGAGCACCTTTCTGTTACCACTACACTGATTGGGACTTATTTAATGATTTTCTTCATGATGCTCCTTGAAATGATATTTTTAATTATCCTGTGGAAAAATGTACCACCAAGATCTCTTTCTGGGTGAAAGCTGGTATCAAAGCTGTTGTGCCAGCATAGAAATACTAAGTGAAACCACAATCTTCCCCTTTTTTCTCTTACCTGTTTAGCCGCTATAACCCACAGGAATCACTTTTTCTGGCTATACCAAAACAACAGGTCTGATTGCAACAGACATCTCTTTATCCTTGCTCATAATGAGTACAAGTGTGTCCTCAAAGAGGCAAAGTCATTATTCACTGGTAAGATGAGACACCATTTGGCCCTCTCACAACTTTGATTCTAAAGATTACTGGTAGTTCTGCAAGAATGTACTGAACAAAAGCAAATTCTCAGTCCCTTCACTCCTTAACCAAATTTGAAGAATTAACTGATAAAGCAGAATACTTTGCTCAGAAATTTTCTTCCAACTCCTTGGACTATCTTGAATGGAGTCTCTACTGAAAGATATGCCCATAACTCTGTCCATGGTTTCTGCTATCATTTTTAAACTAGATTCACACAAGGCATGGATTCAAGCATCGCTGCAGAGTTGTCCTGAAAAAATGTGCTCCTGAACTGGTTCCCTTCTCTCTCTCCAAACTTTATAATAAATACCTCACTACTTCTTACTTTCCATCTTGATGGAAGTCCTTCTTTGTAGTTCCTGTTTTTAAGAACTCTGCAGAACCCTCAAATTATTGCCCTATTAGTCACTTTCCTTTTCTTTTTTTCTTTTCTTTTTTGGCAAAGTATTTGAGTCTCTTATCAATACCAAATTAGTTAAGCATCTTACTTCATATGATCACTTTTTGGATAAAAACTATTCCTTCTGTTTCACTGTGTTAATAGCCATCACTGAATTTGCCTATCCAGCTTTAGTTAAGAATGGCTGTGGCTCTAGATATTTCAAAAGTGTTTGGCATGGTTTGGCCTTCTCCTTCTTCTAGCAAGCCTTCTCCACAAGCTCAAGGGTATTTTTGGACAAATATTTGGCTTAAATCATTCCTAGCAAATAATGTAATGAAGGTTATGTTGAATTGGCACACTTCTAGAACATTTCATTTTTCAAGGCTCTATCTTTGAATGTAAACTGTTTCTGATTTTCAACAACCTTCCTGATATCAGATCCCAACCAGGTATTTAGGCAGATGACAATATTATTTACTCATGTCTTATAGCAAGTTCGACAGATCCAAAAAAGTAAATTTGGCAACAGATCTTGTAAAGGACCTCCATTAACAGGAGCAAGGAATGCTTGTAAATTTTAACACTACCAAAATAAAACTGTTTTCATTAAAATCACCATAGAGAAACTTTTCTGCCCTTTCCATCAACATGGCTGATGCTAAGCTACAGAAGAGCAACATTTTGTGTCTTTTTGGGGTTCATGCCTTCCAATGACATGAAATGGAGTGATTCTATTGAATCAATTGCTATGGTCAGTTGCCAGGAAAGTTGCTTTGCTGTGTCATGACAGACAATTTTTCTCATCAGAATCCATCTCCAGTTTTTATATTAAATCTAATCCATTTAATAATACATGTTGAGACTGCCTAAAAATTCAACATGAGCTTTGTTTTGACATCTAAATTAATCGTTTAAAATTTGACAAAAATTGTTCAAAGCAAATTCAAGTTATTGAGGTTTATGTGATTTGCATAAAAACTTGACTAAAAGAAATAAACATGAAAGCTGTTCATCTTATGAGAAAATCTAAAAACACTAAATAAAATATAAGAAAACTTCAAATTCTATTTGACATTTCCAATGCATGAAATCTATAAAATGTTGACAAATTTCAAAAGACTGTTGACATTAAATTTATCAAATATTTTATGATTACTTGAAAGACGTACTAAAATTATTACATACACTTTTGCCAATTTGGTAAGTAAAAATACTGAATTGAAAATCTGAATTTGTATTTTAACACTATTGTTTTCCTAATGACCCATTCAAATTGTCATTCACCAACAAAAAATATTCATATCAAAGAAGTCAGTAGAAAAAATGGGATCAAAGCTTTCACTCTTCAAGTCCTATTTCAGATATTTTGTTTGCTGTTGGTTAAATTTCTTAAATTCAGATTAATTTACATGGTCCTTAAATATGTTTAATATTTCTCCAAGTTATTTTATCTATATCTACACCATCATATTCCTATCTATCTGTACAGTTAAGATTCATTTGCTCAACCAGGATATTTATTTATTGTATTTATTGGGAAACATTTTCTCTTGCATAGATTAATCTCTTCTGACTGAATATAACTTTTGTTTCTTTTCAAAATTTTGCATTTTTAAAAAAGACTTAATTTCAAATTGAAGCAAGTGAAGCAGTTGTAAGAATTTGATTTACAATAATAAGTACAATGAAAAACTGGGTCCATCTGTTGTTCAATTTATTATTTAAATTGAATTGTTATGGTCCAGAATGACAAGGATATTTCATCATTCTAAAAATAACCTTGTCACCAGTAATGATAAAAAAATAAGGATATTTCATCATTCTAAAAATAACCTTGTCACCAGTAATGATAAAAAAATAAGGATATTTCATCATTCTAAAAATAACCTTGTCACCAGTAATGATAAAAAAATAAGGATATTTCATCATTCTAAAAATAACCTTGCCATCAGTGATAATAGAAAAGAAGGATATTTCATCATGCTAAACCTCATCATTATAAAAACGACTGCAAGAGGGACAGTAGACTAGGGTACCTGTAGCAGTAGTCAGTAGAGTAGACGAGTAGCAGTATAGAAACACATGTCTAGCCAGTGCTCCATGAAGATCGAAAACATGATTTCAAATACCATCCTCACAAATGAAATTCTTGAAACCAAACCAAGTAAGCACTGACCTTTAAACAAAAGAGACACTGAGAACATTTTTACACACACACTATACAAATATTCTGTAATTCATATTAAAAAAAGAAAAATACAAATTCTTGTTATTTATGTCAACACATGTCTCAAGTTTTTATTGTTGCCATGATTGTACGTTTTATGCATTTTAATTTCTGTCATTAATATTAACCCTGTTACAGAATCTTTAGGGATTAGCCTAAGGACCTTTATAGCATTACAAATTTAATTTCTAGTTGTAGAAAAAAAGAAATTCCAACCTTATTTTTCTTCTTTTTAGTCATCCATATATTAAAATAATGGAAACTATCAAGTAACAAAAGAGGGTCACTAAAAACAGACAAAGAGTAAAGTTTAACATTATATTTAAATTGCAAACTGAACCTCTCACTTCCGATTAAAATAGATTAAAACATTAATTTTCTGAAGAAATTATAGTCATATTCATTTAAAGCACATCAAAATACACAATATATTTTCTGATAAAAAGTCATTGGTTTACAGAACCAATCTTAACCATCTATTCATACCGTTTTATCTGTCTCACTTGAATCATCATCTCTCTCTATATTCATCTATCTCCCACTCCATACTTCATCTATCTCTATGTAGCTCTCCCACTATTCAATATCTGACATGTCTAACTCTCTTAATATCCATCTCTATAATCTGGCATATTTTCATTTAAGTTCATATTAGACATCATAAATGCAAGAGATGAATCTATGACTTTCTTTATACATGACATTTTCATTCTTGCTTATCAATTGAATCAGGCTAATTTCCTATCTACTTTTATCACAGACAGGAATTCTGCATGTGCTTTTTGTCTTCTGAATAAAACCAGAAATACAAGAATTTTGTCAAAACACACATACAACATCTGATATTTGTTTCTGACAAAAGAAATATTTGATATGAAATTTCAGCATTTCAATTCTGCATGCTGGCATTGATTAGCTACACCATAAGTTTGTTGAACTAATAATTGATAAGTAACATTTTTATAAAAAGCAATTTAACATATGCTTTGCAAAAAAAAAAAAAAAAAAAAAATGATAGAAATTGGTTGTAAATTTGTATCTTTTTTTTTTGTTACAAAAATAGTTGCTGATCCTTCAGATTCTAACTGCAAAGCATATGTTAAACTGATAATTTAATAAAGTAATTGTGAGTTCAATCCCCGAGGCAGGTAGTGTATAATTGAACTCAGTGGAAACAGGGCAAGCCAAAATTGAGCTGCACTAAACAAGAACTAGATAAGATATCGCTAGTGGAATGAGAGGAATCTACACTCAATTATTAAATAAAGGCTAGTCTAAAATTCCTTGAAGTTTACCATCATGGCTGATGCTAACTTAAGTAAGCATTTTGTTTAATATTTTTTTCATATTAATTTTATTTTCTTGTTATCAGAAAACTTTGGATGATTAGCCAACAATCAGAAAGAATCAGAAATAAACAAAAAGGATTTGGTAAAATTTGAACTTGCATCTGTATTTTTCTTTTTTAGTTTTGGATCTGTGCCACTTAATGAACACAAAATGATTATCTGCAAGTTGCAAACAAAAGAAACAGAAATAAAGAGAAATATGAGTTGAAAATTAATAATAATTGACAATGTTTCATGAAGGCAGAGAAAACGTGAATGTTTTCAAAGAGAAACTATGAAAGATGTAGACACCAACATTGCACAAAACAAATATTCAAATGTTGTCACTTGAGCCAAAAAAGCTCAAATACTCACATCAGGTTTTGTTTGTGTCTTGGCATTTGCCTACAGGTAAGATAAAAAAAGAAGAAATTGAATAAAAAAGAAAGAAATGGTTAAACGAAAAAAAGAGAAAGATTAAAGAAATAATGAATGAGAAAATAAACAGAAGGACAAAAGGAGAGCGGCAAGAAAGACAAAAGGAAAGAAGCAAGAAGGGCAAAGGGAGAGAGACAAGAAGGGCAAAGGGAGAGAGACAAGAAGGGCAAAGGGAGAGAGACAAGAAGGGCAAAGGGAGAGAGACAAGAAGGACAAAGGGAGAGAGACAAGAAGGACAAAGGGAGAGAGACAAGAAGGACAAAGGGAGAGAGACAAGAAGGACAAAGGGAGAGAGACAAGAAGGACAAAGGGAGAGAGACAAGAAAGACACTAGGAGAGAGGCAAGAAAGACACTAGGAGAGAGGCAAGAAGGACACTAGGAGAGAGGCAAGAAGGACAAAGGGAAAGAGGCAAGAAGGACAAAGGGAAAGAGACAAGAAGGACAAAGGGAGAGAGACAAGAAGGACAAAAGGAGAGAGACAAGAAGGACAAAAGGAGAGAGGCAAGAAGAACAAAAGGAGAGAGGCAAGAAGAACAAAGAGAATCAAGAAAGACAAAAGAGAAGCAAGAAATTGAATAAAAAAGAAAGAAATGGTTGGTAAAAAAAGAGAATTAAAGATTAAAGAAATAATGAATGAGTAAATAAAAGGAAGGTCAAAAGGAGAGAGGCAAGAAGGACAAAGGGAGAGAGGCAAGAAGGACAAAGGGAGAGAGGCAAGAAGGACAAAAGGAGAAAAGCAAGAAAAAAGCAAAAAGATAAAAAAGAAAAAGAAGAAAAAGTAAATATTAATTATCAAATGGCTGTTTAAATATATTGTATAAAAATAAAGCAATTTATAAAATTATGAAGACTTATTATTATTACTAATACAATTCCCCCCCCCAAAATAAGCAAGTGGAAAATAGACAAATTTCTGATTGAAGAAGGGAAAATAAAAAATAAAATGAACCCATAAAGAAAGAAAATGAAAATGCAGAGAAAGCAAGAATCAGAATAAATGAAGAAATGATTTTATGATAGATTTTAGACATTTGTAGATTTATATATAATGTTTCATATTGATTACAGTAGATTTGTCACACTAATGTTTTTCTATCTCACATCAAAACTTAGAAATTTAGTCAGTATCCAAATAAAAAAATAAAAAGGAAAGAAGATGATTAGAAGAAAAGAAGAAATATTCAAAAGATATACAAGAGAAACACAAAAGAAATTGAAAAAGAAAAAAAATGACAATTATTTTAGACAATGACAAAAACTTGTTTTCATTGCAATGCAAAAAATCTGTCAATAATAGTCAATCTGATAAATTCTTTTTTGAAGTTTTAAATTTTAAATTATAAAAAATATTTTAAAAATTATAATGAAAAGTTAAATGAATGTGAAAAAAAGAAATAAATGCTGACATTGAGAATACAAAAATTGTCTGCTTGCTTCATTTTTAGATATATGTTGAGAGGTTTTCTAAGTAAACAAAAGAAAGAAAAGTAAAAAAAAATGAAAAGAGATAATTAAAAAAGGGGAGATGCCACAAGAAAGCAAATAAGTAAAAAAAAGAAGAAATGAGAAAGAAAAAGAGATATGAACAGGCTAAAAGTGTTAAAATCGAGGAAAGAAAGAAGGGGAAAGGGAGATGCAATGTGAAAGAATTAAAAAGAAATAAAATATTTCAATGTTGATGAATAAATAAAGAGTTTTCTATATGAATGGGGAACACAAATAACAAGACATAAGAAACAATCAAATACTAGAGAAAAACTATTCAATATCACACACAGCAATACTAAGTCATAGAAGTCAGAGTTACTATACAACAATGCACTAAAACATCTCAATACATGAAAGACTCACTTTAGATTTTATGTCAGATTTTTCTTTGGCCTAAAAGTAAAGAGCAAAAAAAAAAAAAAGTGTTTCTTAATTGTGGTAAAATTAAAACAATATTGCAAATATTTTCCATTGGACAATTGTGCCTTGATTTTTTTTCCTGTGACAAAATCAAATGTTATCAAAAAGAAAAATTCTTTCTAATAATTAAAATACTATGATGACCGTATTTTAGTATAGAGGTTAAAAAGTAAAACTTAAGAAAATTTATAAAAAATACACAGAAAATGTTCAAAATAGAAAATATTCAAAATACAAAGAAAATATACAAAAAATAGAAATTATACAAAATAGACAAAAATTATACAAGGGTCTAAGAAAACATAAATAAAATATTAAATGTATAATTTAATTTCAAAGTACAAAATGTTCAAGACAGATATGTGTCAAATTTAATAAAGTTCATCATATTTAAAAAATATTTTATAAAATTTAAGAAAATTGTAATTAAAATGAGAGCTACTTTGCAGAATATGAAAAGAATTTTTATTTTTTATAAAACTTTTATTTATTGTAAAAATATTTTCATTCAAATTTTTGACAAATGGAATTAAAAAAATATTCATGAATTCATTACATGTAAAAAAGAAAAGAAAACACTCCATGGGATTGATGTAAGGTTCATCAGAATCAAAAAACAAAAAACAAATTTTCATGAAAAGTGAAGTCAATTTCAAACAACCTAATGAAGGAAAAATGTCTATCAGATATAATATATTGATCTGGAAAATATTGATCTGGAAAATTAACAATTATCAACTTTATTGCAATGATTCTATATATGATGATGATGATGATGATGATGATGATTGCAACATTTTTACAGATGATTGACATTTCATTAATTGTACATTGTTGAATTGTCAACTCATAAACGACCAATGGGTCTCTGACTCTCTAGCAGAGAATTTTATTCATTTTTCCTTACCACTGACTGAACATCTCTGATGCACATCTGATAAGGAAAGACAAGACCTTTTATCTTACCAATCTGTGTCCTGTATCAAAACAAATATTATCAAGAGAGAAGTCTTTATCAAATTATGACATTTTTAGCCATTGGAGTGAGGAAAATATTAGGTCCATAATTAATGGGAAAAACATGAAACAAAATAGGAAGCTAATTTTATATTAGAGTGTCAAAATATTCCACAAACTGGGATGTTACATAAATAATTTTTCAGTGCAGAAACCGCCAATTTTCTTACATAAATTTGGGTTAACATCTTTTTGTATTATTCTGTGAACTATTCTTTTAAAAAAACATAAAAAAATAGGATTATGGATATGTATAGATATTTAACACCATTGTATAGATGTATAGAGTGTTAACACAATTGCATAAATGTATAGATGTTTAACACAATTCCAACCTCTAAAGATGTTTTTGCTTTAAAAAATAATTAAAATCTTGTTTCAAGATTCTGGAAATAAGTGATTATTCTTTTTGTCAGCAAAATGACAGACAATGATATTTGTAAACTTGTAAAATTGTGGATTTCAAAACTCAGGATTTTTTGTCCCCATTTTCCTTATTAAAAATTCACTGACAATTTTTATTATGAAGTTGTTAAATATTTTAAAATAAATGTTAGAAATACACAAAAAATATTTACCTTTCATGCACTGTTATTTAGTCTTTACAACTAAATACTTCAGTAAGTTTTACTTTGCAACAGAATTTTCAGTATTATTAAAAGCATTAAGAACAGGAAGACTTCCCCTTTGTTATTTCACAAAAACTGGATTGGTACAGGACTGACTAATATCTTGGCATATTACTGATATGTGAGCCAGCATTTATCAGTTATTTTTTCATATTTTATGTTATTGAGATTTTTTTTAAAAGACACTGATGCACGTTGAAATCTTGAAAATATTTAGTATTATTAAAGTCATTGCTTGACATTTTTTGTTGAGATTTACAAACACTACATTTTGTTCAAATTCACAAATCAGTCAATGAAATTTGAATAAGATGATTTGTTTGGAAAATACTTTGACAAAAAGTCTACTTCACAGTTTAATAAATTCTTTAATTTAATTTTATAGGACTTTATGGTAAACAATATTTTTTTAATTTGATTTCAATCGGTCAACATATGGCTATTTTAGAGGGTGTGACAGATGGAGGGTCTATTAGAAGTCACAAAATTTTATATATAGATAGAGTAAATTATTTTTAAAATAGTGGGAGTATTTTGTATGTTAAATAATAAAACTTTTAATTTTTCCAAAAAGATTAATGAAAATTTATTTTATTAAGCTATGCACCCTTGTAAAACCAATTGTACTTTGTACCCCCACATACCTGTTTATACTTCTCCCCCAAATTTGTTTTCAATCTGTCAATGTCTGGCTATTTCAGAGGATGTGATGGACAGATGGACTAACCACACAGAATTTTTTATTTAGATTTTTGATTCTGGAAACAAAATAATCAAGGTTTGTTTTGTTTTTCTTGTTTAATGGCACATCAACGTCTGTCGGTCATCTTAGTGCTGAATCTTTTATTTAGTATACTTATGATTTGTAAAAAAAGTTTTTAGAGATTAGTTAATAGTTAGAGAGGTCCTAAAGAAGAAATACAAAAATTTGAGGGGGAATTGATGAGAGAGATTTCATTTTTGTCTAAAGCCTGACTTGTTTTTATAAAGTTAAGGATGTTATTTAGGTCAGTTTGTGCTTGTATATGTCTTACTTTTCTATAGATATTTTTCAGGATATGGTAAAATTCAGTACTGTCTATAAGTATGTGATTGATGGTAAATGGTTTTTGGCATACTGTACATATTGGAGCTGCCTTATTTTTAAGGAGAAAAGAATGGGTGACAGTGAGTGTGGTTAATGTAAAGTCTAGCTAGGACTACTTTTTATCTTTCTATATCCATCCTCCAATGGTGGTGTACTGACCTTTAATAGCAGTAGCAACCATAAGTAAATAAACCCTGTATCAGCAGCAGCAGCTCAAATATAAAACCACATAAACCCTGAAGTAACTATCTTCTCTATTCTAGGTTTCCTTTTTGAACTTCTGACATGAACTTTCCACGCTCAAGCTAAAAGAGCTGTGAAACACGCCCACAGTAAGTCACACTATAACATATTCAAGAACATTTCATTGTGTATACAATCTACTTGTAACAAAAGAAACTCTTGTTTTGAACTTTACTTTCGTTAATTTTGTTTTAATAAATGTGATCTTTGCATTGCAAATCAATTGGTCAGGCTGTGGGTGTAATCTCTACACCACAATTATTACTTGTGCTATAAAATATTTCTGTAAGAAACATTACACATTTAATCATTGAAGTAGCTAATCACTAAAGTCAGTTTGGATTTTTTGGAGTTTGTTTTGTGTGCACTTATTCCATGATTCCTGTCATTTGTCGGTAATGAACTTGCATATGGTTTCTTTTAAGTCAGTCTGAGGGATTTTAATGTTAAAATAATTATGGAGGAAATTACTTGAAAAACAAGTGTGATTTACTAAATCTTCGACATGTTGGAGTCGGTGAAGAATGAAACAAAATGATTTAATTAAGCCAGTCCTTGTATTTGGGACACAAGAGTACCCCGAGATCAAAACTTTCTTCTTTTATGTACCATGGTGTTATAAAATAAAATAAGACATATCTCAGCTGATTTACAGGCAAATACTCAAGAGCGAGAACCGGATGTAAACGGGACAAAGCCCCGTCACAAAATGACCATTATCTTTCTTCACAAATGTTCCCGACACACGTGTTCTGGTCAAAAAATAAAATAATATTTAAAGTGCTCTATTTTTTGTCCAATAAAAATGCTTCCCTCCTAATTATACTCGCTTCGTTTTTTGAGCCAGTTAAGCCATAAAAAACACTATAAAAGGGGTCACACGGAAGTTCAACAGGCAGTCAACAGGTGGCCACAAAGGAGACCTGTCACGGTCAGGCCGAGCGTTCAGCAGCTGTCAGCAGGAGAGCACCAACCACCGTCAACATGTGTGAACTACTATGAGAGATTGACCTAGATCCGAAAGCCGGCTTATGAACTTTACCACACCAAGGTAGCTGTCCCAAAACCTCACGTTCCTGTTGAAATAAACCACGTAAATATATTTCTACTGTTGTCGTATTTCTTTCTTGCAACTATACGCTTGTCTATAACAATGGCCTTTCAAGAACGTGCATGATCGTGGCTCTCCACATCTTCAGGTCATCTGTTGCTCAAAGTAACTTTTGACAGTTTGCCATTCCTATTCTGCCATTCAATCACAAAAACTCATTAAGTAGCTTACGCACTGTTTACCCTTCTTTTGCTTATCTTTAGTATGTCCTGTAAGTGTTAAATTCTCTAGGCCCTCTTTCCTCATTAATTGTCTCAGGGATATCAGCTTCCTTTCTGATTGTAAGTATAAGATTCCTTGTAGTTTCTATTTCCCTTAAGATTTCCTCATTGCTCACAAAATGGTAGAGCAACATCTTTGTCATTACAAGTCTCTTCATATATAGAGAGATTGTCCAACATTCACTGTCATATAGTGTAGGGGATATTACATCGCAGTTCAGTATTCTTTACTTATTTTTTCGGTAAAATTATCCTGTCTCCTAATATTTTGCTTATTCCTTTGAAAAACTTTTGTAATTAAGTTTTTAAGGTCATTCCTACATTGTATTTCCATATTGCAGTTAAAAGTTCCAACAGCATCTTCTAATATTCACCTAATGCAAGGCCCGAGAGCCACTGAAGGTAGAGGGTTACTGTGTGGACTTATATTAGCATAGGAAAGAACAAGCATTAGGAGTATAGAGCTAAAGTAGACTTTTAGAAGGAATCAGAAACTTAATCCTAAACAGGAAACAAGGGATAAACCTCTGCTCCTGTTCAAAAGACTAGCACTGGTTTTTAAAAGATTTTAAAAGTATTTAATGTGAAATATTCTAAATAAAAATATATTGTTATATCAAGTGACTTATTTGTTGTTATTTTCAAGTAAACATCAATGATTAGCAACAGACATAAATTTGCTATTTGATAACCATTTTTTTTTTAATGTATTATTTTAGTTGAAATTTCTTTTGCAATTAATACTCACTTCAGCATCAACTTCATTCTTTGTCTTTTCCTGAAATTAAAATCAATGAAAGAAGATCATTAAAGTAATTAGAAACATTTGCCAGTAATTAGAGGATATCAAAATGATTAATAGGAAAAAATGTCCTGTTAACTCAAGCTTAATGACAAAATTTTCATTCTTTTAATTAAGAGATTTCAATCTTGATAAGTCAATCAACTTTTGTCATCAAGATTAAATGTTGAGAACACAATTAAAGTTCACTTAATGACTCAACTCTACCACAAGACATCTTTCAATTTCTTATATTTTAATTTGATTTTTCTGCAATTAATTCATATATAATACTATAGTTAGTGTCAAAGATTGGCAATCAAAATTTTGTCTAAAAAAAGGGGGGGGGAAGAGATCTTACTATAAAAGATAAAGATCTTAATGAATTTTAAAAGTTATATTACTTTTGAAGATAGTGTAAAAAGAATATCAATAGAGTACAACTGTAAAGCGACTTAGAAAAAGATCAGGTTTGTTAAGAATTAGTTCAACTGACAAATGTTACCAGAAATTATCCCAACTCAAAATGCAGCTTTGAAAACCTTTTGATAGCGAGGAATTTTTGAGGATCATAAATTAAACCAAATTAGGAAGTTTAATTTTAAAATTAACATCACTCATGTTATCACTGCTTATCCAAGTACACACTACCCAACTCAGTTACTGAACTCACAATTACTATGTCACTAAATTTATGAATCAGGCTATTATCACATAGAATAATTCTCCGTAGTGAAATTGGAGCCTTAAACCTAACCTGCTTGTTGATGAGTGCTGCTGATACTTGTCATGTTTCAATCTGGTTAATCTTCAGGGAATTTCAAACTGAACCCTTTATTTAATCTATGGGATTAGATTGCTCTTGTTTCACTGTCCATATTTACGGTTATCTTGTCTATTTCTTATTTTTAGTACTGCTCAATAGGACAATTTTCTAGAGTGAACTTGGGCCCTTAAATCTAACCTGCCTGCTGATTGGTGCTGCAGCCGCTTTTGTTATAGTTGTTGCTCTTCTCTGTTGAAGACTTGCTGTCATTTCTCTTTCTTTCTTTATTAGTTCAACAAGATATCCCTAGACATGGACAGTAGAACAAGAACAGTCTACCCCATAGATTAAATAAAGGGTTCAGTTCACAATTACCCAGATCAATATACACATAGGTGAAGGCTGGAGGGTACAATAACCAAAACGTTGTGTTAACAACAACAAAGATGAGGATAATAGTCCAAATGTAAATAAAGACGTTTATATATTTTAAGAAATTCAGATGTTAATATGTTTATGAGATCAGACGACATTTCAAATGCAATGACATTAATATAATAGTTTTAATGCATCCCAGTGGAAATGTCTCTATGCAATTATGTTTCTACAGTTACTAATGGAAAAAATGTTTATGTTTCAGTATATCCACAATGAAAAGACATTTCTATAATAACATTTCAATTCATCTTTATGTTTTAGTAGATGCTAAGCACAAAGAAGTTTATGTATTTCAATATATTCAACCATAAAGATGTTTTTATGATGTTTCAATACATCCAAAAGTTAAAGACATTTTTATGATGTTTCAGTATGTCCAAGCTGTAAAGACGTTTATATATTTCAGTATATCTCCCAAAGAACGGACATTTACATAATGATATATCAAGACATCTTTATGTAAAATGTCTATATCATGATGTTTTAGCATATGCCAAGCAGAATATTTTTATATATTTCATTATATCATAAATGTACAGTATAATGCTGTTTCGATACATCTCAATGGAAATATGACCATTCGATGATGTTTTAAAAGATACCAATAGAAAAACATTTATAAAATGACTTTTCACTACATTGAAATATAAATACATCTGCATATTTTAATATATTCTGAATCAAAAAAACTTTTATATAATCATGTGTACCAAAAGATGTCTCAGTAATTTAAGAGAGCGTTAAATTGACTTGCCTATTAGAGGCATCATATCGATCAAAATAATCACTGTATATAACTAGCCATTATTAAACACTTTTACATGGATTCTGTTGTAGCATACCTACAGACGATAATGGGTATGCCTCCCCACTCCCATAAATATAGTAGTGAATACTGCATGAGTTGGTCTGCGGTCTGCAGTTGGAGATTCATTGTGGAATTGACTCACTTTTAGCAGTTGACTACTTCTTCTAAGCACCGCTGGCAAATCTTATATGTGTTGTTCTTGTCCTAAGTATTATCATTCATTACCAACCTTTGATTATTCTATTCAGTAACCTTCCCTAGATTGCAACAGATTCATTATTGGTCTTATATATCTTATATCATTCTTTTGTAGTTCAATATAAAATCCTTTGACTTTATCCCATGATTTAAGAGGGAACCAAATTAATTTGCCTATTATGTGCATGAGGTTCTATTGAATGTAATCAAGAGAAGTATAAAGACAAGGTAACTGCTAGAGATCTCAGAAGAAAAGGCTGGATTTGTAGAAAAGCAAGGAACCAACGAGCAATTGGTCCATAGGAAAATGGAGATAGAGAAGTGCAAGGTCCACAATATTCCACTGTACCTGTGCTTCAATGACTACACCAAGGCATCTGATTGTGTCAGCCATGCCCAGCTGTGGAAAACAATGGAGAAGATGGAGTTTCTGCATGAAACTGTCTGCCTTATTAGCCGTTTCTATAAAGATTAGGAATCTGCTGTACAAACATCTGGGGATTTAACAAAGTGGTTTCCTATAGAAAGAGTTGTTAGGCAAGGCTGCATCCTATCATCGATGTTGTTTAACATGTATAGTGAGGACATTATGTGGGATGAATTGGAAGGGAAGAAGTATGGTGTTAACATTGGTGGGAAGAATATTGATAATATTCGGTTTGCTGACAATACAACCCTTTTCTTGACCTCCAAGAATAACCTGATGACATTACTACAAACTGTAAGTAATGCCAGTGCCCAGTAAGGTCTTCTGCTAAACACCAAGGTAATGACGATTGACAGGGGCAACACAGACTTCCTGCTAAATGGCAAGGAGATAGAGGAGGTGGGGGAACTTTGTGTATGTGGGCTCCACTTTCAGTTTTCCCACCATCAAACATCCAAGGCAGCCCTACATGGTCAGTCAAGGAAAGGCTAATAATAGGGAGAAGTGTTACGACAAAAATGAGAAACATTTGGAATAGTCGGAATATAAACATCAGCCTAAAGGTGAAACTAATACAAGCCACTATTTTCACCATTGCCATCTACAGATCAGAGTCATGGGTAGTGACCAAGAGAGAAAGACACTGGATTGATGCATTTGAGATGTGGACCTATCGCAGAGTGCCATGGACAGTGAGACACACTAATAAATGGGTGATAGATACCGTCAGAACAAGGTATGTATTGAGAGAGCAGACAACATTGTCATATTATGAAACAAGGTGCCTTCGATAAAGACATTCTGCTGGGCCCAGTGGAGGGCAAGCAGCACCAGGGATGACCACCCATGTCTTGGTTTGTTGATATTAAGAGGTGGATTGGAATGATGATATTTGAGACTAAGGGTAGCATTAGACAGAGAGAGATAGAAGGGAGTGGTGACCACAGGGGAACAAAATGTGCTAACTGAATAAATGATAATGATGATTAGAGACATCATATCAAACTAATTAATTACTGTATATAACTTTTGTCATATTGAAACACTTAATGGATTCATCATTGGTTTTATGTATCATTCATGTTTCTTGATTGTAATGTTCCTTATAAACTCTTAAATGTATTCAATATATATATATATATATATATATATATATATATATATATATATTTATATATATATAAAATATATAAAAAAAAAAAAAAGAAAACTTATGTACGAAACTAAGAAAAATACTCAATATAAACCATTGGAAAAATACAAAAAAAATCATTAATTGATTTAACAGTATTACAAATAAAAACAATTGCACTTTTATACAATTAGATATAAAATTCATCTATTACTAATCATATATTAGATAAAGCATTAAATTTAGCAAAACAATACACAAATATTCAAGAGAAGTGATTAAACATAATTAATCATTGTACAAAATCATTAGTATACTATAACAATAAATTATGGATAAAAAACAATAGTAACATCAAGAATGAGAACTTTGACATAACAATGGGCAGTTATGATGGTGCCTAGATATATAAAATCACAGGCATATATACCTTAAATAATTTATCAAATATTATTAATAAAGAGGATATAGATTTATATAGAGATGATGATCTAATAATTATAACAGTAGAAAAATAGAAAATATAAGAAAACAGAAATATTTAATAAATTAGGATTTAAAATAGACATAAAATCTAACCTAAAAATAGTAAATTTTCTAGACATAACATTTAATTTAAATAAGAATACATACAAACTATATAGGAAAGCAAATAATCCAAATTATATAAACAAATATTCAAATCACCCTCCTAACATATTTAAACATATATCAATAATAACACACATCCACAAAATAGCAAATAATAATTGTAATTGTCAAAATAAAAATAACTGTCCACTTAATAAATGTTTAACTAAAAATTTAGAAAGCAAATGTATCAAATAATGTTAACACAGAAGCAACTTTTAAAGAAAAATTTAATAATCATATGATGTCATTTAAAATAGATAAATACGCAAGTAGCCTATCATTATCAAAATATATATGGAGTCAAAAAGAAAATAATATACCTACTAAAGTGGAACGGGAAATTATAAAAATATCCTCATATAATATTACCAATAGTAATTGTAGACTGTGTTTAGAAGAAAAATTATCAATATTAACTTTTAATAATCAAATTAAATTATTAAATAAGAATGAGATCATGGTTCGATGCTGACATATTACAAAATATTTAATTTGTTACGTTAATAATATAACATAATAAATCAAATATAATTAATAATACAATTTAACAAATATCACAATGTAATTAATAATGTAGCATAACATAAAAAATTCAATATAAACCATAAAATATTTAAATATACTTTTGAAGAAAAATTCAATTTGAAAAAATTTACAACTGGAAGATGAATCTACAACTGAAAAAACAAAGATGTAAATAAAAGCAAAAATTCATGAATGTATGTGAATAAAAGAACATTAAATTCATGAATGCGCATGTGCACAAAATGTATTGAAAAAAGACATGATCATCCTTGATAATGGCTAAAAGTATAGCTGTAAGCACTCAGAAGTACAGAACATTTAGACAGTTTCTACAAGCTCTGTGTTCAGAAAGGAAAACACTTGTTCAAACACAAGAAAAATTTTAAAAAAAGCATAATCACAGTGCAGTGCCTTGTTTGTCATCTTTAATTAAACATGTATAAATGAGGGATTGCTACCTAAATAGACACACACACACACACATATAAGAAATATAGTTTTAATGTATGCTATATTTAAGTGCTCAATTTCAGAGATAGAGTGTATGTAAATATTAAAGTGGTCATTGAAGTCAACACCCAGTAGTAACAGACTGTTTCATACTAAATGCAACCACGCCATGACAATTGTATTTAGCAAGAAACAGTCTGTTGCCTCTGAGTGTTGAATTCAATGTCCACTTTATATATATATATATATATATATATATATATACCTTACAACTTTTTGTCTCAAATTATACTTGTGAGAATTCCCAACACATTTACAGAAGTGGGATGCATTATTCTATTTATTAATAAGTTTTGTTTTGAGAAAAACAGCTAATTGCATTCATTGTTCCTCATTTCCAATGAGTTTATGAGCAACAGCAGAGTATAAAAATTGCACCACACCCAGTGTGATGATGACTGGTTACAAGTGGTTTTAATCAGAGTCAACTCAAAGTTCTATCATCGCATTACACCCAGATCTAATCCCACTGAGTTGAGGCATGGGTCTGCAGAACTTTGTAAGCAATTAACCCAGAAGGCAGACCCAGCTGAAACTATATGGCTTCATAAACAAGCCAAACACAGCTGAAAATAGCATAATCATATTCGTCTACAGAACTGAGAAACAGTTTGTCTAATAAGAGAACCACAATGTTTGTTTTAGATACGATTCATACTTTAAAGAATTAGATTTTTGTTAAGGTTAGTTAATTTAAAAAATATCAATCCTTGCTGAATATAAAATTAAAATGAATTAATAGAAAGGTAGATGCACGTCTGGTTCACATTAGAGTTAAAAATGTAAACATTGGTTGAGTTTACACTAGAATAAAAAACGGTAGTGTTATACTAGCATCAAAAGGATAGATGCAGATCTAGTTTACATGAGAGTCAAAAATATAGATGCAAGTTCAGTTTACATGTGTCTGGTTTACACTAGTGTTAAAAAGATAGACACTGGTCCAGTGTTATATTATGGAATACATTGAATTGGTGTTACACAAGAATAAAAAATGTAGACACAAATCAAGTGTTAAAAAGGTGGACATTATTGGAATTTTTGGGCAGTGCTAGTGAGCTAACCAAAATGAGCTGACTCATTTTATAGTTCACCAATAGAAGGGTTAACCAATCAGAAGGCTCAAAATATTCAATGCGATGTGTATAAAGGCAGCCATGTTTTTTTTCCAAATATTCACTGCCAACCTCTGATATCAAAGATTGAAGAATTACGGAACAGCTGCTGGTAGTATTGTCAATATAGTCAGATCCAGTAGAGTGTCTGATTTGTGAGTATTAATCTTTAATGTTGTTTTATTGAACAGATTACATACTGTTCTGTATTCTATATTCATAGACTTGGCGAACATGGTCAACAAAGGTTACAAGCCCAGATTACAACTGTATTTTTGAAAAACTTCATGACATCATTCTTTGCCAAGATGACCAGAAAGATGATGATTTTATGGAAAGAAATGCAACTGTGTTCGCCGAATTAATACAATGCCTGGATGACAGAAGTTTGTCTTTAATAATGAGAGAAAACAGGGACAACGGTCACCAAGCTTTAAGAATATTGCATGAACATTACTTGTCAAAAAGTAAACCCAAAATTATTGCTTTATATACTGAACTAACCTCGTTAAGGAGACGAGAAAATGAATATCTAACAGATTATATTATACGAGCTGAAAATGTCACAAATGCCTTAAAAATGGCAGGTGAGACTATCTCAGATGGGCTGCTAATAGCCATGGTTTTGAAGGGATTACCAGCAACATTCAAACCATTCACAACAGTCATAACTCAAAAAGATAAAAAATTAACTTTCACTTAGTTTAAAATTGCGTTACATAGTTATGAAGAAACTGAAAAAATGTGTAATCCCCCAAATCAAGGAAATAACGCATTGTCGCAAGCAACACAAGAGACTATTTTTCTTAAATTACTAATAAAAACAATTACAACACTGATAATAAGTGAGCCTATAACTATTTACTGTGACAATCAGGCCAGTATCGCTTTGGCTAAAAATCCAATAATACATCAAAGATCAAAGCATATTGATATTAAATTTCAATTTGTTCGGGATCAGGTACAAAAGAAAACAGTACAAATTGAATATGTTCAATTGGAAAATAACGTGTCGGATTTGTTTACAAAGCCAATTACAAAATTGAAATTAGGGGCTTTCATTCCTGTCATATTTGGTACTGACCTATAAGGTCTTTATTAGTCCCAGGCACAACGTAAAACTGCATCCATTAAGTCTCTCTAAGGTCCGTATTGGTCCTGGGTAGGACGTAAAACTGCATCCATTAGCTATTGTCTTAAGAGACATCAGTTTTTGATATGAATGTGAGTCCTTAGTTTCGGGGTATAGACGTAAATATTTCTACTTTTAGCCCAATCCTCCTCTGAATGACTCTCAGAATCACTCTGACCTGGAGTGATAGTGCCTGTTTTAATGGGTCCCAGCTATGGGTAAAATAACTTTTTCCACTCTTTTGTTGTGATCACAACCCAAATTTATAATATTGTTATTAATGTTTATTAACCTGAAATACTTAACAGTGTGTGACACTATCTAGCTATGGTAATTGGCTAACTAATTAAGCATAGAAATTAAAAATGAGAAATACTTAAGGCGAGAAAGAGCTATAATGAAAGACAGACAGAGTGACATTTAAAAAAAAAAAATGAATGGAAAAAGATTTTATTTCATTTACAAGGAAAGATACTTTTTTGCAGAAGACAGAAAATCCATAAGAGAAAACCAGATTTTGGATTTTGTCAGAATTAATTAATGTCATGATCAGATAGTGACGTGACAAGGAAAACAGAATTCTAAAAGATAAACAAAACTGGGTCATGCATGCGACCAAGAAGGAATTTCAGTGAGACCACCCTAAAAGAATAGCCACTAATTATCTTTCAGAGATATCATTTAGTTTTGGTTCTTGTGTCCAGCGAGGAGACCCATCTGTTGTATGTCTGGATCTTGACATGAGAAGAGAGGGTCGAGAGGGGGGATCATTATTATTGTAAGATAGGGTAACTCAAAAATGAGCATCTGGTGGCACAAAAATTTTACTACATGAGAAAAATAAAGAATTTGTTTATAAAGTAAAAACTACCACCCAGTTTAAAGGTTGACTAGCAGTGATTAATGAGTCGGTGAAAATTCTGCTAAGTGGATTTTGGGTGGCTCAGGATAAGATAAGAATTTAATTACGGCCACATGGAATTCATAAGAATTCTGGCTGATAGAAAAGAAGGAAAGAAAAGAAAAGAGAATTTTTTTTTGGATGATAATTTTAAGAAGGCCAAGTCTAGCCACACCCACGCTGCCGAGCGATCATTGGCTGAGTGGTGGTGTGAGAGATGGGTGAAGGTGAATGTATGAGAAAGGTGGGGAAGTTGTTGACACCCACTAAGAGGATTGGTATGAGATACCAATATGAGAAAGGAAGAGTCTAGGAGGATAATTCTCCTCTGACCTATCCTCACGAACAAGGGAGAAAAACCCCGAAAGAGAAAGTGATTAGCTTCCAAAAATGGGAAGTAATAAATTTTCCTGTTCTGGAGACAAAGAAAATTTTTGGTTGGGAATTAAGAATTGTCAAAGAACCCAAACCACGACAGGCCTCAACCCGGTTTTGGTCGGTGTCCATATAAACGAACGTCCCGGGGCATTCAGAGTAGTGTTTATTCGACAGAGAGCTGTTGAGCTCAGAGAATAGTGCCTCACAGGAGCTGACCAAGATTTCCACGTCTTTTTCGATTTAGTCTTCCTATCAAAAGCAAGTTTTTATTGACGAACGACTTAAGATACCATAACTCGCTTAAGAAACGCAAAAAGTGTCAAAAATCCATAGAACAGGCTGGGAAGGAAACACACTCCTGTATTCAACAGATAGATAAAGTTAATTGTTATTTATCAACATATTTGAACCTCTTGAGTTTGTTTTATTATTTTCTTTTACTTACGCTTGTGCAGTATCACCTTTACCCCGGATTCAGCTTGCACTACAGCCCAACGCCTGATTGATTTTGTCTACCTAAGATCAAAGTCACAACATGGGTAGGTTAGACTTGAGATTAAAGCAGTTACTTCGGTGACCAGGCATTGGAGGCGAGCTGAGAACGAGAAAGTTGGTATTGAACTGGAAATGACCAGATCGACCAGGACACAGACTGGTGGCAGCGACAATGAGTCAACCCCAAACGCTGGTGGAAGAAACCTTACAGCTTCGCACCGCATCTGGGAGTTGACCATATGCCGACGGCTCAGCGTCAGACAGTGACATTGTGACCAGTGGACGTCACATATTGGCGCTGGACTGCGACCACGACCACTGGTGCGTGTCACAAGTGGACAAAATGATATAAGTAATTTTTGTGGATATTAATTTAAAAAAAAAAAAAAATACAGAAAAAAAAGAAATTTTAATTACAAAACAAAAAAGATATATTTTATGAATACTAAAGTATTTGTTCCCTATGAATATTTTGAAAAAGATTCCATAATGTACCCAAAATGGGGGAATTTTGGGGTAGTACTAGTGAGCCAGCCAAAATGAGCTGGCTCATTTTATAGTTCACCAATAGAAGGGTTAAGCAATCAGAAGGCTCAAAATATTCAATGCAACGTGTATAAAGGTGGCCATGGTTTTTTCCAAATATACATTGCCAGCCTTGCTTTTGATATCAAAGACTGAAGAATTACGGAACAGCTGCTGGTGAGTGTTAATCTTTAGCGTTGTTTCATTGAACAGATTACGTACTGCGCTGTATTCTATATTCATAGACTATGGTGAACATGGTTAACAATAATAATATATATATCCAGGTAAAATGAGAACAAATGGAGTATAATTCCACTGTATGTAACATTTAATTTAAAAGAGGTCTCAATACAGAGTAGAGCTTAATATTATTTATTTTAGGATATTAAAACATGTTAAAAATCGCTGCATAATGGCAATTATATTTCAACACAATAAATGTATCTCCTCAGGCAATGTTAAACTACTGGCGAGTGAAAGATTAATTTAATTTCAAAAGCAGAATACTTTTAAAAAAAAAAAAATAGGCATGTGGGCTTTGCCATGATTAACCAATTGAATGTGACCTACATTACATTCAAACTCACCAAAAAATTTTTTTAAATGCTTTTGAAATTAATCTTTCACTCACCAGTAGTTTAACATCACCCAAGGAGAGACATTTATGGTGTTGAAACATAATTGCCATTATGTAACAATTTTTAATGAGTTTTGATATCCTAAAGTAAACAATATATATATATATATATATATATATATATATATATATATATTTCAATCAGCACTTGATGACTAGTAGAAACTCTGAATTTCATGCAGTGAAGTGGAAAAAATGCATATTTATTATTAGTATACTTTATATCTCTGTTAATATCAATCAAGCACTATTTTATCAACACCACCACTCAACGTGTATATATATATATATATATATATATATATATATATATACCTGGCTTATGTCAGAGGGTATCCCCCAGATGAGGCTCTGCCGAGGGGTGGAGTCTCATCTCAGGAAACTGACTCCGTTTGTACATGGTCTGTAGGGAATTTTTGCCCAAACCTATGAGCTCGGAAAACCCACTTTAAACTCGGCTTTGTACCACATCTTGCTGCGTGGGGCAGCAGGTAAATAATTATACATGAAAATGTAGTTTTAAGGTATCCTATATTTATGGGTTAAAGTGCTCAATATCAGGGATTGAGCGTATGTAAATATAAAAGTGGACACACACACACACACACACACAAAAATGAACGTTGATGTCAACACCCAGTGGTGACAGTGTTTCATGTTTATATGCAATCATCAGGCCTGAAGATTGTTTTAAGCATAAAACAGACTGTCACCACTGGGTGTTGACATCAACGTTCATTTTTTTGTGTGTGTGTGTGTGCAACATGTCTTATCAGACAAATTTGATCAAATGACAAGAACCAGTCAAGATAATTGGAGACTGTGTTTATTACATATGTTTCAGAGTTTGATAGTAAGACACTGGCAGGATTGTTAATGCCAAAATCATAGCCCAATAAACATGTACTCTACAATTTCATGGTCTTCTGAGCACTATCTAACTTCTACACAAACACATATATATATATATATATATATACACATACACACACATATATGAGATATTGCAGTTATGAAGAAGCCTGCAGGAACAAGGTACACAATAAGAGATATCAGTCTTGGAATTCTTATCAGGTCTTAGCATCATATTCTTGGAAATGATTGATGTCTTACAAATGCATATGATTCTTAATCCAGCCTGCCTTCCAGACATATATATATATATATATATATACACACACACACACATATATATACACACACCCACATATGCATACATATATATATATACACACACATATATATACACACACCCACATATGCATACATATATATATATACACACACACACATATGCATACATATATATACACACACACACATATGCATACATATATATATATATATATATATATATATATATATATATATATATATATATATACACACACACATCTAAATAAATATATAAAACTGACAATTTCACAATTCAAGAATCTACTTACTTTTGGTTGAATTGTTGGATCCAAGATGATTTTGCCAATGTTTTTGCGGTCATGGAGTCTTTGCATGGCTTCAGCAATCTGCAAAAGAAAATTGACAAAAAAAAGGGTAAAGAAAATTGTTTTTATGATTAATAATTTTGTTGCTAGTAAATACTTAATCCTATTTTTGTTACTTTTTATTGTAAATCTCAGGAAATCATTATGTATTTGTCAAATAAACAACATGAATAAAAAATAAAAAATGCATCTCAAGCAAGATTTGAATTCACATCCCATATCCTCTTTCAATGACAGTAATTTTTATTAGTATTTCTTTCATTTTATTTTCGTTACTTTTTAAAGCCACTCTCAAATCCATGTTCTAATGACTGTCAAGTAAGCAGCTCACAACACTGAAAACAGTAACAGTGAACAGACAAGCTGTCGCCGTCACATTCAGTGATCATTGTTACTTGACCCAACACATTAACTTCAGGCTCTACTGACTCTCCTCATCCTCCAGGTCATTTCCCTCACCCACAATGTGGCATTCCACCTTTATATACTATAATGGAAATAGAAAGAATTATATTTTAACAATTCTTGTCTCCTTTACTTTTTGCATCATCAGCAGTAACTTGCTATTTTGGTTGTTTTCTCATGTTACTATACATGCATTTATAACACCTACCTGATAAAATAAAATTTGAGGAAATTCTAAATTATAAACTTAATATAAAATTATATTTGTAAATATTACTTTAAAATTAATATACACTTGAAGAAAATTATTGCCTTTAATTTTCAACATATTCATGATTCTTGAATATATCTAACAAATAAATCCTGATTTTTTTCAACAAACTCTGGTGACAAATCCTTTCGCACTGTGATACAATGGGTTCCTATACAATTGGCCTGGACAATCCCATGACGTAGAGTAGATTGTTAATGTTTTTGTCAAGGTCCGAAACATGCTAGTTTTTATGACTTTACAAAGAGTAATAATTACAAGTGAAACCTTCAAAGCAAACACCTACTGTCTAGAGGTGGAAAAAAAGAATGAAATAAAATAAACAGATAAACAGGTTTTCAAGATCAAGTGCCACTTAGCTGGAGGTTGGTTAGTTCCTTGGGGAGGACAATAAACTATATCTAGCAGCAAGGCCTCTGATCAGGTGATTGAATGTTTTTGAGAAGTGTGGAACTACTTCTAAATTGCTATTTTTTTTCAAGATCCAGCTTGACCTGGGGTAGTAGCACCTGTTAGGGTCTCACCTATGGGCAAATAGTGAACTCCCAAACAAAAATCAACAGTACATTTTTATAGTAAATTACTAACAATACATTTTATGATGTACAAAATTTATATCTAAAAAACATGCCTTTAATCTGAAAGCATAAAATTATGTACAAAATATTTGTAGTTGAAAATATAAAATTACATATAAAATATTTAGATTTCAGCAGCATTAAATAACCCATGGAGGTGTTGATATGCTGCCAAATAAAATTAACCAACTAAACAACCAGCAAAAAAGAACTCTTACATGACATTAGTCTATATAATATTCTACAGTTTCTTAAATCAAACAGTATACCAAAATATAACTTCAATAAAACTACAGCATAAACACACATATCACTGCCTCTAGTAATCATATCAACATAAACATGTATAAGCACAAAAGCTGAGTATTATCTACCATGTATTCAATTGTGAAATCAGAATAATGTATATCATGTTTTTTTTACTTCAAAGCTCCCAAGAAAATTAAATTCTGGCCTTAAATGACCCATAAAGGAATTGGCATGCTGTTAAACAAATCAATCAATCAGTCAGTTCCAGGTGCACACAGTTCCATAAGCAGAGTCACAAATAGAATTGTCAGTTCTGATGTTTGCCTGTTGAGATGGAACAGGCCATCTGTTGAGATGTAGAGACAGTGGGAGAGAGATATGCACTGTAGGGCAATTCTCAGTGGGGAAAATCTGGTCCATTAGGGTGTCTGTCATGAGAGGTCTTCTCTCATGACAGATGTGAAGTAGAAGTTGTCCTAATTTTCACCTACCTACATGCTAGGCAAATCTATGAATAAACAAGCAAATATATTGGAAACAAGACATACATTTTCCTTTCTCACCATAGCAATATTTTCACCTTTCATTCCCTCGTCAATATACAACAGGCTTCTTCCATTTTATGTTCACACCAATACAAATAAGAATTGAAACAATGTTGGGTGATTTTCCCAGTCAGTGAAAGACAGAGGGGCCTCTGGAGCATGTTACCATTTTTAGCCAAAATAAACATTTGTTTTTGTTGAGTATTCAAAATCTATCATTTGTCATTTCCTGCCTTGGGCCTTGTGAACATGAGGCTATCCTGCTGGTATGATGTGAGTGACCCCACATATTGCAACATTCTTATACAAAATCAGACAATCTATGAATTCTCCTGTAATTCTCAGCAGTTGTATTGGGTCAGAACTAAAGTCATTGTCTTTTACACATGACTGAAACTTATTATGCATATACATATTCTTAAATGTGGAATTGCAACACATCTTTTTATATGCTTTGTGCACAAACTGTGAATTTTATATGCTTTTATGTAAAACATGAAAATGGAGGAAAATGAAATTGATTTTTGTCATTTGATGATCTCTTACTTCTGAAAAAGGAAGAAAACAGCACAAGCATCAATAAAGATATGTGCCATTTATGGATACAGAAATTTTTGGGAAACACACTGATGCGTGTTGAAATCCTCACAATATTTAGCATTGTTGAAGTTATAACTGAGAAAATATAGGATATCTATAAACAAATCACGAGGCCAAATGCTTCAAAAAGTTGGAATTTTGGTCCAGAAAGACATTAACATATGACCAGTTGTATGTTGCATGCTCAAGAGTAAGAAATCCTAAGAATTTATTCTTCACTATTAAAAAAAGAAAAAAAGATATTTTCTTAAAAAATATTGTTTACCACGAAGTCCTGTAAAATTAAATTAAATAAATTGTTAAACTACAAAGTATTTTTCTAAACAAATCAGCTTATTCAAAGTTCATTGATTGGTTTGTGAAATTGAACAAAATGTAGAGTTTGTAAATATTAGCGATAACTTCAACAATACTAAATACTGTGAATATTTCAGTATGTGTCAGCATGTTGCAAAAGAATTCTTGTATATAAAAACTTAAAGAAAAGATATTCAAAAAAACAATATTGAATTTTTATTAAATAAGTATTTGTTACTTTAATTAATAAATTGTTTTTAAAAATAGTAGGAATATTTTGTATATTAAATGATAAAACTTTTACTTTTTTTCAAAAAGATTAATTGTACTAAGCTACACACCTTAGTAAAATCAAATTTACTTTGTAACCCCTTATCTGTTTGCACTTCTCCTCCAAATAAGGTTTTGATCAGTCCCTGTATGGCTATTTTAGTAGGTGTGACAGACAGATGGACTAATAGAAGTCACAGAATTTATGATACCATAACTGAGAGTATTGTTCATAAGTATTTTCCAAGGTACAAAAGTGGAAATTTTTAATCTGGTGGAATGAGAACGCTCCACTAGGTGTACAGTCATTGATGATGACCAAATTGAAATGCTGATTAAAAACTAATCCAAACCACACAACATAGAACATTGCAGAGATACTGCCCTTATATGATTTGTAAGGCATTTGAAATCACTTGGATTATATGAATCACCATGATGTTTAGGTGCCATATGATTTAATGGCAAAAATAATTTAATGAACTGTGTTTCCATCTGCAATTCTCTGCTTAAATGCAACGAAAATAATCTATTTTTGAAAAGAATTATTATACATGATGAAAAATGGATGGTTTACAACAATGTGCAGCAAAGGTCCTAGGGAAAATGAAATGAGCCACCATTAACCACTCCAAAAGCTCATCTATATCCAAAGGTGATTCTGTGTATTTGATGGGACTGGAAGGGTATTGTATGGGGTCACACTAAAGTCTGGACACATTGGCAAAAATGCATATTTTCAAGAAATTAAATTTTCAACAACATTTTATTGAATTGGAATCTTAACAAATAACATCTTCAATGACTTCCATTATTTGTGAGGCAAAGTTTGATGCGCTTTGCAAGATTCACGTGAACTTGATGCAATAACTCCATATTGCAGCCAATTTTAGCACATTCACTCTTTATGCATTCAGTCAAGTGTGTTGCATTTGTGATCTTCATTGAGTACACCTTTTCCTTTAAGTAAAAGAAGTCAATTCTTTCTTCTTTCGACAAAACCATGTTTAGTCTGCGGAGGTATATAAGAATATAGTTAATGAGATTTCTTACGTGTCCAGACTTCAGGGACACTCTGTATATTATGAACACCTTCTGCAAAATCAGACACTGATTTTAGACAAGCACTAGTCCCAAATGGCCTGATTAAAGGCTGCTATTGATAAAAAGCATCTGGAATTGGTCAATCAGAATAGTGTCATCTTCCATCAGAACAACGCCAGATTCCACATCTCTTTTCAGAGCCAGCATAAATTGGGATGTCCTACTACACCCACCATACTCACCTGACCTTTTGCTTTCAGATTAGCACATTTCAATCCCCACCAAAATTAACTTAAATGAGGAGACCTTCAATTCTAAGGAAGTCTAAAAAAAACAAAAAAAAACGGAGTAGTTTATCACCCAGAAAGATGGCAAGTTCTTGGAGGACAGATTCATGAAGTTGCCTCAAAGATTGTGAAAGGAACAAAATGGCACATAAGTGGTTGAATAAATCTATATGCAACAATCTGAATATTGTTTTTGAAATTCATTAAAATACAATATGAGCTTTTGTTCTGGCCCAAAAGTTATAGAATTTTCCTGGTATACTTACATCTTCAAAAGAAGCCACCTGATCAATTACTGGCTTGATGGTCCCGTCCGTGTACAATGTGAAGAGTTTGTCCATTACTTGCCGTACATATTCATGTTGGTTTTCACGGAAGAGTAATTGTCGAAGTTGGAATCCTGCCAGAAACTTATTATCATCATACAATTTCAGAGGACTTATTTTGTCGACTTGCCACCACTGAAATAATTATAAAAAAAACAATTTATCAAAATGAAAATTGGAAAAATTTAAAGTAAAAAATTAGAGGGTTTTATTAAAACCAATGAAAGCCAGAAAAAAAGATGCATGAGAATAGGAAATCACTTTCTCAAGATTTATATACAAAAATATAAACAGTGTGAACATAGGTATAATCAATGGATGGTGACAGTCTGTCTCATGCTTAGACTTGCCCTCTGATGTTAATAACTCTCTTCACACTGCTTATATTTACATATGATCTATCCTTGATATTAAGCAGTTTCCTCCCATAAATATAGCACACATTAAAAATTACATCATATATATATATATATATATATATATATATAATAAACATAGTTTTAAGGTATGCTATATTTGTGACTTAAAGTGATCAATATCAGGGATATAGTGTATGTAAAGTGGACATTGGGGCCAACACCATTGAGGTGACAGATTTTCATGCTTAAACACAACCTTCAGGCCATATATATATATATATATATATATATATAAAAATGGTGAATCATCAGGCCGGCATCGCCCTGACAATCCATTTAGGTGAAACCTAGGTAGGTTTGCCTGGCTCCTTAGGATTATCTTATATATATATATATATATATATATAATGAAATGGACAAAGTCCGACAATTATTTAAGACATTTTTATGTTTATACATTCTTTTTATAGATACAAATATTTAAATAAATGCTCTGTTTATAATAAAAAGTATTAACATTTATTGGTCTGAATGTCCAAGACATTTTCTTAGAAAATATGCGTCCTCCAACAGGAATCGAACCTGTATCCTATACGGAAATGTCATATGGCCTGACATACCTTAACCAATTGGGCCACAGAGAAGCATTTGGTTAGCAAGGTCGATTTTACTGTTTTTAAACAATTCTCCATGATTTTCTCTCATTCATTCATATCAGCTCAATGCATATCCAAATGTAAGCAAATGACGTCATACATTATGAAATGGACAAAGTCCGACAATTATTTTCAGACATTTTTATGTTTATACATTCTTTTTATACATACAAATATTTAAGTAAATGCTCTGTTTATAATAGGACACATATTTTCTATGAAAATTTCTCGGACATTCAGGCCGGTAAATGTTGTTAATACTGTTTATTATAAACAGAGCATTTACTTAAATATTTGTATTTATAAAAAGAATGCATAAACATAAAAATGTCTTTATATATATATATATATATATATATATATATATATTTGTGTGTGTATGCAAATATTTCAGATAGAATATACCTGTAAAAGGATAATCTGAATAAAGACTAAAGGAAAACTTATCTTAGCCAACATGTTTTGGGGACTTTATTAAGGTTAATGTAAGTTTTTTTTCATTTTGGAACAAATATTTTATATACAAGAACAAAAATGTTGTAAGTTTTTCAAAATTTTTCCATTTAAGAGTGCTCATAAATAAGGAGGCATGGTGGAGTAATGGATAGCGACTCAGATTGAGGAATTGGAGTGCTGAATTCAAATTCCAGTCAAATCCATTACATTCACTTACATGCTAATACCCTTGGGAAAGGTAGGAATCCTCTTCTTCTCCCCCCCACAGCTATGGGTAAATAGCAGGACAGACCGAGTCCTATAGCCTTGGTTGACAACTAGTCTACCACAAAAAGAAATGGCAACCTACTGCAGGAAAAAATCTGCCTAGTCAGTCATGTATCGAAAGATGTGTGATTGCCTAAGCGTGTATCACGCATGGCATATAACTGACTGACATAAATATTAATCAGCTTGCCAAACTTTTCGACCAACCTGATGAATATTTATGAGCATTCTTAAATTTTAAAATTTTAAAATCACAAAATTTAAAATTCAGTATTCTCCTATCTTCAGCACTTCCCCTTATTTGATAATTATAAAATCGACATCATAGTTATATAATCAACATTAGTTTGAAGAAGTCTTTTCTCTAAGGTGGAAACGTGTTATTTAGGTGTTTTCTTCCATTTTGTCATTCAATTTCTCACTTTTAGTCTCATCTATAAATTTGTATGTCTTCCAATCATCTGGTTGTATTAGAGCTATGTTATAAACCATTAATGGGGCTGTGGGTAGTAAGGTCATTTATGACAGGTCAATATCTTTTGAGGAAAACATAGGAAGTACTTTTTTAGGTATATAATATAAATGCCACCTAGTGAGATGTATTTTTGTAAATAAAAAAAATAAACTTTTACTTACAGATTTAGCGAAACTAAAAAAACTTTTTGTTTCTCCAGTCACAACACTTGAGGTACCTGAAATAAAATTAGTTGCTTGTAATGAATGTTAAATTTATTTTAAATTAATTTAATCTGAGGAAATAAATGAAAAACTGAATGTAAAATTGTTCTTTAATATTTCATGATATCTTTGTATTTTTTTAAATGCTATTCTAATTTTATGTTAGAAAACATTTGAAGTTCATGTTAGAAATGTGCAAAAATTTCTGACTCTAAAAAAATCCAATGAAAACTATTCTTATACTGAGTTTTTTTTATTTTAATTTCTAGTTTTCAAAAGAGATGGAGCTGGGAATTTTCACACACAGGAAATTACTGATTTCCTTGTGTGTTTAAGATTTTGAGTGATTTGTTTTTAAAAAAATAAATTTTTAATTGACTTTTTAAAATAATATCATTTTTTTTGTTAAGGAAAATTCCAAAAATAAAATCAAAGTCAAAATGTCATTTTAACAGTGAATTTTTAATGGCCATGCAACCAGTCACTCGGAATGAGTATTCAGTGAGCAAAGGTTCAAATTCTGGACAAGTTTATTGCATTTACTTTTGCACAAATGCTACTGAAAAAAGGCCTTTTGCAATCTTCCAGGGTAATAAATGGTAAATTAGATAATGGCACAGTATCTGCTGAGTATAGTAAATTAGAGAAGACAGTTTGCCTGGTTACCAAAAGAAACATTTTGTCCAATGTTAGACTGATGGAATTGGGCATGCATTTTTATTAACTAATTCTGAATACTTTGCTTCAGTTACTCTAAATGCAGTACTTGTTCAATCCTTTTATTCTGTAAAAGCTTACAGTAGCAAACTTCATTCCAGTCCCAATATATATACTGCATAAGCTTCTTTGGATAAAGTTTTGTTACAGTTGAGGTAGTTTTTCTTATTTTACATTGTTGTAAAGTATCCACATTTCACCACCTGTCATAGTTTGTTTCTAACACAAAACATTTCATTGCACTTAAGTAGTGATACATACATGAACATATAGATTTTTTCACTAAACTTTTATAAAAGCCACACAACAAAGCAACTAAAATAATCAAATATGTACAAATGATTTCAACTCTAGATTTACATAGTTGTCTTAATATTATGTCCCATATTCTCAAATATTATCTTGATTTGATCATTATCAATCTCAACTGGTCTCCTTGACCGTGGACCATTGCTTAGTAGGAAATATGCCACACACAACTTCACAAACCGATTTTGACACATTCAATTAGTCAAATAACCTTCTTCATAAACTGCATAATTTTTTTTTTTGTTTTTGCATATATACTGCATTTTCATTTTTTTCAGATATAAATCATATTTTCTTCCATCTTCAATGTTAGAATCAAAAAACAAAAATACAGCAATTTTGACAAATTAGAAAAAATTCCCATTGCTATGACAAGATAATCAAGTGTGATCTTTTTGAATAAAGTCAGTTAAAAATAAATATTTTTATGCCATTTAATAATAAAAAAAAGTATAATCATTAGGCCAACTAGTAAGGGAAATAGAATGAAAGTAAAACTGAAATAGGTTCATTTTGTAATCACTGCACAGGTAAAGGCAGTGAGAGAATTATAAACAGTTTCAGTTATAATGAAGAGAAACTGTTTAATAAAGTCCCAGTAACATAATATGGTGTCTTTCAGTTTAGAGAAATCCCACCTGTTTTTTTTTTTTAATTTAGATAGTGATGTTACTGCAGCATCTGTTTTACCAATCAAGTCAGGTAAGGTGATGTTGGTATGTTATCTCTTGTGCACAAGCTAGGGCAGGAATACCTTTTTTTCGTTGGAGACAGAGCAGTATATTTGGCCATGCAAAGGGAAGGCATGGGTCAATATATCTTGGCACTGGTATCATCACGAGTTGCCAGAACAAGCTTGGATTCAATGCCAATGTCTTTGACATTCTAACTCCATATTTTTTTCTTCAGAGTTTACTCCCAAAGCCTTTTCAATGATTTGGTAAGTCTGCAAGGCAGTGGAGGTTTTCCTTCTCTACAATGGATTGCCCACTCAGTTTAATGAGTTCTATCTCCCCAGTTAAATACTTACCAAATAAAATGTATCTTCCCATTGGCCTTAGGAGGCTGATTCCTTTGTTAGTGTAATCTCCACAAAGACAGTCCAACACAATATCAACTCCTTCTGGGGACAACCTGTTGGAATAATTAGGACAATTCTATAGAAATATTTTTCCACAGTTGAATACAAATAAAAATACTAAATGAAACCATTTTTATTTCAAATACTTAAGATCATGAATATCCATGACAACTTAGAATTTTATTAACCAAATTTAAGAGAATTATTACACACACTTCTGCATTAAGCTCAACGTTTTTTTTACTCTTTCTCTGATGTAAAAAGGAATGCATATTTACAAGAATTATATATATATATATGTGTGTGTGTGTGTGTGTGTAGAGCGAGTTGCCATGGCTAAATGTAAAATAAATGACAAACAGAATTGACAAAATTTGCAATAAACAATAACAAGAAAAGAGCAAAAAATATTAAAAAGCAAGCAAACGATATATGCAAGGTGAATTAACAGTAATAAGGCAAATTAATAGTAATAAGACTAAGCAACAATAGACTAAGAATTGGAGTTGACACACAAGAGCAAAAAAAAAAACAAAAAAACAAAAGAAAAAGTACTAAACACCAAGAAAAAACAGATGCTTAATCGTTACCATTTTGCTTTGGGAAATGGAGCTGCCATCAGAATCAAAACTACATCATATATGAGTGTATGAATGTGTTATAGGCAAGAATGAAATACGACAACAGCAGAAATAGATTTATGTGGTCTATTTCAACAGGAACGTGAGGGTTTGGGACAGCTACCTTGTGGTAAAGTTCATAAGCCGGCTTTCGGATCTAGGTCAATCTCTCATAGTAGTTCACACATGTTGACGGTGGTTGACGCTCCCCTGCTGACAGCTGCTGACCGCTCAGCTTGACCGTGACAGGTCTGTTCCCTGGCCACCTGTGGACTGCCCGTTGTACTTCCGTGTAACCCCTTTTATAGCGTTTTTTTATGGCTTAACAGGCTCGAAAAACGAAGCGAGTATAATTAGGAGGGAAGCATTTTTATTGGACGAAAAATAGAACACTTTGAATATTATTTTATTTTTCAACCGGAACTCGTGTGTCGGGAACATTTGTAAATAAAGATAATGGTCAGTTTGTGACGGGGCTTTGTCCCGTTCACATCCGGCTCTCGCTCTTGAATATTTGCCTGTAAATCAGCCGAGATATGTCTTATTTTATTTTATAACAAATATAAGGGAAAGCATTATCTAGATGTAGAGTGAGTGACCATAGTTAAATATAAATAAATGGCACAAGTGTCCACCAAACAGAATTAACAATGTTTGCAATAAACAACAAGAAAAAGAAAAGAACAGGGAAATAAATAATATAAAGCAAGCAAATAATATATGCAAGGTGAATAAGGCAAAAAGTTCACATACTAAGAATTGGGGTTGACAAACAAAAGCAAGTTCAGATAAGTGAATGTAGCATTGTGACTTCAAAACAAGACAGACTGGGACTGAGTCATATGAAACCAAGAACAGGCCTATTTTATTGGCTAGAAAGAAATCCCAGCATACATTTGTGTTGCTTTTGCCTATAAATTGGAGAGGGGAAAGCATTTTGCAGTTATTCCTCATGCCAAATAAATATACATGCCTAGTGAAATTAGAACCAACAATATATATATATATATATATATATATATATATATATATATTAGGCAGCAAGAATTCATTTAAGCAATTTGTATTACATTCAACAGTTAAAATCAGTTTGTTTAATTCATAATTGTATTTTCCCTGCATTTTCAAATTAATTATTGCACCTCCAGGTGAAAATTGTGGATAAACTTGCAAATATATATGAACATATACAAATTCTCTTAGTTTATATCACTCTTGCATGCATATTATATATTATGAAATGGTCAAAGTTCGACAATTATTTTAAGACATTTTTATGTTTATATGTTCCTTTTATAGATACAAATATTTAAGTAAATGCTCTGTTTATAATAAACAGTATTAACAACATTTACTGGCCTGAATGTCCGAGAAATTTTTATAGAAAATATTCGTCCTCCGATAGGAATCAAACCTGTATCCTATATGGAACGGTCATATAGCCTGACGTGCCTTAACCAATTGGGCCACAGAGGATCGTTCGGTTAGCATAAAAATATCTTAAAATAATTGTGATGTCATTTATTTACATTTGGATATGCATTGAGCAGATATGAATGTACGTGAGAGAATCATGGAAGATTGTAATTTAAAGACAGTAAAATCGACCTTGCTAACCGAACGATCCTCTGTGGCCCAATCAGTTAAGGCACGTCAGGCTATATGACATCTGTATAAGATACTGGTTTGATTCCTGTCGTCGGATGAATATTTTCTATGAAAATTGCTTGGACATTCAGGCCGGTAAATGTTGTTAATACTGTTTATTATAAACAGAGCATTTACTGAAATATTTGTATCTATAAAAAGAATCTATAAACTCAAAAATGTCTTAATATATATATATATATATATAATTTATTCCATCTGTTCTTTCTCTCAATGTGTGTGTGTGTATATATATATATATATATATATATATATATATATATATATATATATATATATACACACACAATTGAAAAAAAAGAACAGATGGAATAAAATTCCACTGTGCGTAGAATTTACTTTTAAAAAAGTGTGCAATACAAAGTAGAGCAATATATTATTATTTTTATTATAAAAGATTATAATAAAAACATGTGGAAATCACTACAAAAAACTTTCATGTTTCAATACTTTGATTGTACTTTTTCAGGAGATGGTAAGTAACTGGTGATTAAATGATTTTTAAGAAAATTTATAAACAAAGTGTTACATATTTTCTGAAAGTTAGAGTAGGGAAATAAGGTTAGAATTAAAAATAGACTTGTGGGTATATCTTGATTAACCAATTAAATGTCAGATCTGCACTAAATAGAAATGTAAGCTGAGAGGGTGGAAGTGGGTGAGTTATTTTTTCATGTCATGATAAGCCGAAACATAGACTGGCCATCATTGACAATTTGGAGAAAATATTTCAGTAACAAATGTATCACAATACATGGCGCCGATGTATTTTTCTCAAATGACTTCTCACTTAAATATGCTTTTGCAATCTTTTTTCTCATAATCCTTTCTCTCCCTCTACACAAACATGTACATATGTACACACATATTTTCTTTTTACTTCCTTTTCCTCATACCCTATCTATCTTCACCACAAAAAAAAATTTTCCTTCTCACCTTTTGTTGCATTTTAATCCCACTGTCTTTCTCCTTTCCTGTTTTATTTTTGTATCCATACTTTTCTCTCTCTTTTTACATCTTTTCTACTTCCACTCTCTTTTTATCCTTTGCCTTTCCTTTTTTTTTAAACATTTCAGCCATTCTTTGTCAATACTTACTTTTACGCTTTACAATTTCCTATCTCTCTTTATTTCCCTAAAATAGACACGCATAAGATTTCTTCATCTTAGATCCACACCTTCAGATCAATCCTTTTCCTCCAGAATGTTCCTGCCTCAGTCCAATTTAATCACAAACATCTTTTGCCCTTCTGCTATAAAAAGAATTCTTTCACGGCTAGCCATTAACGTCACTACACAACATCAAACCAGCAAAGAGGAATCTTGATGGACACACAATTAGATTTAAATGAAAAGCATTCATTCTGCAAAAACTCTACATACAACCTTAGCTTTTTCCTAGTAGAAACTGAGCCAACCAATAGAATTCACTGATATTATTATCAGCAGGAGATGTATCAACCAATAGAATTCACTGACATAATTATCAGCAGGAGATGAATCGGCCAATAGAAATCACCACTGGATTTGGTGTCGCTGTTGAATCAATTCCCTTTGCAATGGTTATGGAAATTTTTCTTTGGGTGAAAATCAATTTTTCTCAATTATTAATTACTGTATATTTTGTGAATTTTTTGTTTGAACATTATTACTATTCTTTTATCTATCATACAAAATAAATAAAATCTACATGAAAAATATTTGCTTAAATGCTGCTTTTGGTAGCCTCTGTGCAATTACTTCCAGTTTATATAATTAATTACAAATGTTAATTATTACTTTATTATTACAGTATCATCACTGATGTACCACTATGGCTGTTGGACAGAGGAGTGCAGACATGTCAAAGGAATTAGTGGTTAATATTGAAAGTATAAGAGATTTTTATTTTTATAGAAAAAAAGGATAGAATTGTAAAATAAAACTTTAAAAAAATTTTGCCTTTTTCTTTTTCATTAAACTGTCCCCAGTACACAAAATAATTTTTCGCAATCTACTTTTTTGGATTGTAGTAGAATTGTTCTAGACAATACATATTGCTTATCAGTAAGCTTTAAGATACTTGGTATTTAACTGAGCTCCACACAAGTGGGATGTGGTACAAGGCCATTTATTTTACATAGGGCATTGTGAGCTAGTAGGCTCAAGCAAAAATTTCCCGTAGACAGTGAATACACAGTGTCAGGTTGCTGTCTACCTCCCCAGATGAGCCTGTCCTTCAGCATAGCCTTATCTGGGTTCCTCTCTGCCCTGAGGCAGAAAGGTCTACAAGCAGAGCAAGGCGGTGGACCACCTGGCTCTTTTGCGCTTTAATATACTCTACATATCAGTTGAGTTCTCCTGAATATATGCATTCAGGACAGATCCATTAATGGGGGAGATGGATCATATATGGATGAATATTTTCATTTCTTTAGTTGACTAATCAAACAATACATATGAAAATGTGTGCAATTTATGGCTCTCCACAGCTTCCTATATTTTGCTGCTTTTAGCAATATTTACTTCTCTGGGATACTTCTTTTAGTTTGTGATACTTGTTTCTCTATCTTTTTGTTCAAACTTGACACATTATATTGACTTCAATGTTAATTATTTTAATTTTGAAGGTGTCTAAAAACTTTTAAAATTTTAATAAACTGTTTATAAGATGGAATCAGTACAGAAGTTATTATTAAAAGGAA